TATATGCAAGCTGTATGTCTATGTGATCACATGCTAGGATTTGGGAGACAGAGGTTCAGATCCCTGCTTGGCCATAGAAATTTGGGATTGCACTGGTAAAACCACTTCTTAAATACCTTCCTTCAGAAACACTACTAGGGTGGCTGCAAACTGGAACTAACTTGATGGTGCATAGCATAACATGCTTCTGCATTATACATGTTTCATAGAATTGTTTTATCTTTTAACTGTATGTATCCCCCACCCCCCACCATTTTGTAAGCCACCTTTGGTCCCTGAATTGGGACAAAGTTGAGATGGAAATAAAATGTATTAAATAGGCAAACGTATATAAAATAAGATCTTAAGTGGAGCTGGAATGGATGGCCTAATATATAATTTTCCATGTATTTACATGAATGTTCCATGTATTTACATGGAAAAACCATGATTTACAAGTTGTTTTTCTATAATGCTCTGGTATCCGAAAGATGTTTCATCCAACCTGACCCCAAGGACAATTCTCAGCTAATCTACAGATTTGTCTGTTACTACCATCTGGCATACTGAAATAACATTTATGTTACAAAAGATACAAACCAGGCACACGCCTTCCTTGAAAAGTGCAATCATGATTAATTTTAAGCTTTCAAAGTAAAGTGCTTTATGCTCTTGCTACTTATGGCATTGTGAAAGGAATACTTGCTGTTAAAAACAGCCCATTATTCTTTGCAGATTCGTTAACACAGACTACAATTCTGGGCATATTTATTTCAGAGACAAGTTCTACTGAACTTGGTGTGGTTTCTCTCATCTTTAATACAGTATATTCTTAGGCTTGTAAAAACTTGTTGTTTGATATAACATTACCTCTTTCTGTAGCTTTATATTGCAATTGTTAATAGTCTTTTTAGATTTTTTATTTTACTCATTTAAATTGTTTAATTATATGAACTCGTTGCCCACAAAACTTTCTTGTTGAAAAGTTTTAATAAGATTAAGATGAACAAGATTAATAAAGACAGAAATATGTCCAAGTGTAGATGCAGAGAATTAGAATGAAGAGCAGAGACGAAAAAGCAACTCACAGGTTATTAAGCTAATTACACGGTCATTTGTTGTTGTTATGTGCCTCTGAGTCACTTCCGATTTATGATGACCCAGTGAATTAAGGACCTCTAGAAGGTCCTATCATTAGAAGCCCTGCTTAGGTCTTGCAAACTGAAAGCTGTGGTTTCCTTTACTGAGGAATAAATATCATGTCAAGTGCCCCTCTTTTCCTCCTGTGCTCTGCTTTTCCTACTGGTGTTTTCTTTTTCAGTATGTCTTGTCTTCTCATGGCATGTTCAAAGTACAATTACCTTAGTTTATCCATTCATTCTAGTTTTTAGTGATAGCAGGCACCTTAGTTTAGTCATTCATTCTAGTTTTTAGTGATAGCAGGCTTGATTTCCTCTAATAATAATAATAATAATAATAATAATTTCCTCTAATAATAATAATAATTCTGTCAAGTCAATTCTGACTTATGATGGCCCTTTTGAAGAGTTTCCTAGGTATAGGGTACTCAAAAGTGGATTATAATTCACGATTTGCTCTAGAACTCACTAATTTGCCTTTCTGGCAGTCCATGATATCTGTAAAGCTTTCTTCCAATGTCACATTTTGAATTAATCATCCCCCCTCCCGTCATCTTTCTGCATTGTCCAGCTTTCACATGCACACATTGTTATGGGAAATATAGTATGGACAATCTTAGCCTTCATTCCCTTTAACGAGTCTGTTATCACCACTCTTTGAGGTTTCAGTCTTATGATTTCTGAACACTTAGCCTTATGTCATGTAGTTGACAAAAATACTTATATTTTCACTTTTACACACAGTGTGATACTTTTACATTGTAATCAAAGTCTCAGTTAAGGAGCTGCAATATACTTTCCAGATAAGGTTGTAACATGAAAAGCTATATTTATAAGGGAGCCACAAAAAGTTAGTTTTTTTGGGCTACACTCTCAGAATCCTCCAGCCAACACCACCACTTTTTGATTACTTTCAGAAGACATACTGGCTGGAGGTATCTGGGAGTAGTAGTCAGAAAAGTAACTTTTTCTAAGCTCTGATTTTTTTAATACACACACACAGTCAAAATTAAGAAAAAACACATGAATCAAATTAGGGCTCAACTACAAATTGTAATGCTCCTTTTTTTAGCACACTTGAAATTGATTTTAAAATATCCACCTACAAAATGTACAGCTACATTTTGTCAAAAAGCTAGTTTTTTTTAAGCACTCATGAAGCTAGTTTTTTTAAAGCACTCATGAAGGATTTCTTTATTTTAAAGTGCTTTTTTTGTCAAAAAGCTAGTTTTTTTAAGCACTCATGAAGGATTTCTTTATTTTAACTCTATTATGAGCACGATTTACTGTATTTTGAATCATTTCAGCCATTTATGTGAACTGTCTGTGGGACCTGTCAAGTATCAGATACCAAGATCACAGGTTTTGCACTGCAGGGTATCCTACAGTTTGAACTCCCCCCTCCCATCTGTTTTTATTTAACCGCTGCATCAATCTATCACTATGCATTTCAAAACTGCCTCATTGTGACCAACAGGGAGAGGGAGGGGAAAAGCCAGCTGGCTGTGCTCCCAGAGAAGTCGATGGAGAACCACCTCTCTTCTATGAAACCAAGCAGGGAGAGAATGAAAAAGAAAGAATCTGGTGCAGCTTCAGCTCCTTTGCACACTTCTACATCCATCCCCTTTCCCCCTGTGGGGGCAAACAAAATGCTTCGCCACCAGCTATAATAATAACAGCAGCAAGAGTGAACACTAGCCCTCACTCCGCTCCCTTGCCCCTCTGCAGAACCTCCTCTTCTTGGCTCTGTGACTAATTGGATGGGTGTATCATGTTAATGATGACTGATGAAGAAGTAGCCAGTTTTTGTTAGTTAGCAACCTCTTGTAATAATGCAGGTGTGGGCAACTTGAGGCCTATAGGCATTTGGCTCCTGAGAGCCAAATGCCGTCCCTCATACCTCCTAAAATATATCTAAAAATTCAAAAACATATTGTAGCTCAAAATGTAAGCTAAAGTAACCAATAAATTAATTGGTTTAATCCAGTGAATGAGGAATTTGAAAAAAGGGCTCTGTTGGTAAAGATTACAGGGGGGGGGAGAGAAAGACAGAGAGACACAGAGAGAGAGAGATCGAAAGAGAGTGGTTATTTTATTCACCATCAGCAGGATCACTTTATTGTTTTGTTTGAAAACTCTGTAGCGGACAAAAAAGCTCTACAGGCTTTATTGTTTTGTTTGAAAACTGTTTCCTCCTAAACATTTCTCGAATTTTCTTATAAGAGAAGGGTTCAGTGACTGGTGAAATACTATTATAAAGATTAGTGGGGGGAGAGAAACAGAGATAGCAAAAGAGAAAAAACTGAAAAGGAAATGTTTTTTCTCAGGGGACAGGAATATATGCCCTAATCACCCTGATTTAGGTAATGGGATTTTAAATAAATGTGGTGGGTGGTTAAAGGACATATTCTTTGTACAGTAGTGTGTCTTATATATTGTTATTATATTTTATTCGAGAGGTTTAAGGTTTTATTTTAATTTACCAACCTAGACTTGCATTTGCATCTTCTCATTCAAAAGAAGTTTTAAAGGACAGTAATATTCTGAAACTGATCATCATTCTCCTTCAGCTTTTTGTTGCATCATTTCTTCTTGGTGACTTATAAGTCTGTGTTTTATCTTGATTCATTTGCTGTTCAGGCTAAATGTAGGCAGCCATAAAAATACATTATTATTTTTGTTGTTGTAAGGAGCATTTTTTACTCAGCGGGATACGTATTTGCTTCAGCCCAAAGCCCAGTGGGTGGTGAAATACTTAGGAAGTGGCTGTTATGGTAAAGTTCCAACTGAGAGAGAGAGAGAGAGAGAGAGAGAGAGAGAGAGAGAGAGAGGGAGAGAGAGAGATGAATAAGAAGGGGCAAATCCTCGTAGTAATAGTTTGTATTTGAACACATTCTTCTGTTTTATTTTAGGACCTTAAAGCTTTTGTGTCCACAACTATCTTCTCAGAGTCTTGGATTTTTGTACAAGAGGAAAACTGTAAGAGGTTGCTGACACATTTGGATTAGATACTTTATGGAGATGTTATTTTCTGCAAGTGACTCCTGCTCCAAGATCTTCTTTATGCATGGAACTCATAAACATATATATGCATGTATTTATTTATTTCTCTTTCTTTTGTTTTTCTTTCTTAGATCTTGGAACTGCAGAGCTAGAAGGGACCCTACCTATCATTGAGTCCAGCACCTGTCAAGGAGGCACAGTGGGGAATCGAACTCCCAACTTCTGGTTCTGCAGCCAGTTGCCTAAGCCAGTGGTTCTTAACCTTTGTTACTCGGATGTTTTTGAACTGCAACTCCCAGAAACCCCAGCCAGCACAGTTGGTGGTGAAGGCTTCTGGGAGTTGCAGTCCAAAACTCCTGAGTAACCCAAGGTTAAGAACCAGTGGCCTAAGCCACTGAGCTATCCAGTGGTGGCATTTTCGACTGAGTTCATATTAAGCTATCCAGTGGTGGCATTTTCGACTGAGTTCATATTAAAGTCATTTCTGTTCTTTGGTTGAAAATTGAAAATTTTTGCAGAGTTTATTGTGTTTGCAATGCTAATTTAGAAAACAGTTGCATTCAAACAAGAGAATGGTACACATTCACATCTGCCTATCCTCTGTGGGCATGATCATAATTATTTATAACATTTATAATATTTACAGAGGGTCAGTTATGGCTTATGGAACTTGAGTGTGTAATTTACTGTGGTAGAAAATTCAACCGTTATTAAATATAAGGTGAAAGGGTATGTGGTTGTAAACTATTGCACCAAAATCTACAAAAACTTTTGCTGCAGCTTAAATACCAAGCAGACAGGTTTATTGTGGCATATTTCATGGACTGAGTTAGTTTCAACATAACCATGTCTATAAAGAAATGCCTAAGGAACACTGACCTTCTTTAGCTGCCTCTTCTTTTGACTGGCTTATTGTCAGTAACCTGTTTGTTTTCTCCAATTGAAGATTAAGAAGATCATTTTTTCCATGTAGCTCGGATATTTTCTGTAGGACAATGTTTAAATTCCAAATGAAAACTTTTGTTTGACAATTTCTGCCAAACTCCTGAGTTACTTGGGAGGAAAATTTTAGGGAAATTATTTAAAACTCTGCAGGCCTTTCTGAAAGTCAAATAATGTTTAGACAACAATTAACTGATCATGATATCAGATTATGATCTTACATGATCTTCAAATAACCTATCCCAGAGCAATCACAGAGGATGTTTAGAGAACCATGCACCAAGGGAGAATATTTCCAATTAAGATTTAAGTGGAAATGCAGTCTTCTAAGAAGATTGCTCATAAGCCATTTTGCAGCCATTTTCAAACACACAGCCAAGTCAAATAAAAAAAAAAAGAGATGAATTATCTAATTAAACATATCAAGGCCCATTATACTCAGACAAGAAAACTGATAATCTAGCCCAGTCTAGCACAATCTTTTTGACTCTGTGAGTTACATCTGGTGTTGAGATGTGTTGCATATGCACACATATATTCCCCACAAAAATGCACAGAGATGGGGAAGTTTTAATCTCTTCCCTGTATTGCTTCTGCCCCCTGAGACTTTCCCTGGAATTGATCTTTGGCCACAGTCTTCTCATGTGATTTGCATGCTGGGAAGGGCAGGTGAGTCTGCAGGTGGGCAACAGCACGGAGGACCAGTAGCAAGAACAGAAGACTACAGAAGAGAAGGTAGCTCCCTGTAGATAGCCAGCAATGCAAGGCCTACCCAGAGCTCAGAGAAGTTTCTATGTGTACTACAATGTCCAGAGTCCTCAACCCTGGCAAATCAGAGAATTCTAGGGGGGGGGGGAGAGGGGAAAAAAACCAAGCACTTTTCAAAGCTTTGTGCTTTCCCTTGATGCTGGCCCTGGCTTTTATAGTTCTCCCAGAAAACGCTCAAATGCAATTTATGGCAGAACGTAAAAGGAATGGATTTAAAAGATTCTCAGTCTCTACTGTAAAGCATGATTAAAGTCATAAAGTTGCTTGGGTGGAAGAAAACACATAACTTCAATGACAAAAATCCACCCATACAAGATTTGCTTGTTATTTTTCAGTCTTGACAGAATTAATGTTCCATACCAATGCCTATAGCTAGTTGCATAACACAACTGATAAAGACTACAATGCCATGTGTGTGTGTGTGTGTGTTCTACACTGTCAACTCAGAAAATTTATACCAGTCCTAATAGGGCTTTCAAGATAAATGAGATATTTAAAGAGTGCTTTTTCCAGTTCCCCAGTGAGTTTCCATGGCTAAGTGGGGATTTGAACTCTTTTCTCCAGAGTCCTAGTGTCCATCTCGCTATCCACTATACCAAATTGGTAATGCCGTAATTATTGGAAAACAGAAATATTGACGGGGAGATGCTATCTCAGAGAAATCAGAAAAAGAAACAACACTCTTGAAAAGCTGCCTATTGTGAACCTGTAGACTTTGCTTTTCTGGAGTTGTGCCTGGCTTCTTTTTCACAACTCAACTCCAGAAAAGCAGTCTACAGGTTCACAATAGGCAGCTTTTCAAGAGTTTTTACAACATAGTCCTATGTTTGCTTATTCAGAAGCTAGTCTAATTGCATTCAATGGGATTTACTTTCTTTTTCCAGCTCTGTTCCATTTTGTTATTACTTTATTACTAACGAAGTATGACTATTGCTAATTAGTAACACTGTACAGTACTAATTTATAGTAACGCATAGCTGTTAATGGAAAGGAGCTGCATAATATTTATAAACAGATAATTTTATTGGCCTACCAATTAAACAATGAAACTGATTGTGTGTGGCCTTGGAAAAGCCACATAGTCCCTGAACATTCCCAGAAAGAGAGAGAGGTGTAAATCATTTCTGAATCCCTAATCCTGGTAACCCATGAAAAGATTTGCCGTAAATCAGAATTGACTTGAGAGTACCTATAATTATCATACAATATTTACCATTTCTAGATGTGAGAAGTCCTCTAAAAGTTTATCAAGATTCACCATACTGTTTCTTTTCATTATCAGTTTGCTGTAATGTTACTTAGCTGTTTCCTGTGTATCAAAGAGAAATATGTTTAAGAATTTGAATCTCCTAGTCTCTACTTAATAACATGATGCAAAACTATTTAAAAAGTTATAAACATAATATCTATTTGTTGTTGCATAGTAAGAAGTCCTAGTTTGCTCATTCATGACTCCCAAAATCTGCTGCCGGAAGAATTTAAAACATGAAGTAGATACTGTACTGAGCTCTAGGTTAGAAATGAGAAGATGCGGCCCTCCCAATGTTAGCTGAAGTCATATTGAGGCATGCCTCACCATTAGCAAACCATGTTAGGGTGAGCTGATGAGAGTTGCAATCCCAAGAGCATCTGTATGGATGCAAGTTCTCACCTTAGCTTCTACTATGCCAATCACTGGCTGGAACTTCATACATCTTTTACAAGTAACCACACTAACTTGGAAGTCTGTAATTTGACACTTGTTTGATAAAGGTTTCACTAGTGACAAAAGTCTTGTTGTGGCATAATACAATTTGTAATTTTCAAAGCCAAAGATTTCTGTGGTTCTTGCAGAATCTTATTAATATTTCTGTATGTACTCCATTGTATCAGCCAGAGCTGCCCAAGAGAAGCCAAAAATATTCCCTGTGCAGCTCTTAGCCGGCATTTGTAGATTTTCTTCATCAATTTCAGTCTGCATGTGTTAAAATATTTCTGTTCAGATCAGCATCAAAGTTATTTCAGCATCTTTTATTTCATACAACCTTTAATGGACTGTATAGTTAGCTCACCAGATCTTATACTAGGTAAATTTTGTTCGTCTTTAAAGTGCAACAAGACTCTGTTGTTTTACAGTTCCACCTTGAAAATATCAAAATTACTGAACACAGTTGTTTCTGTTTCTAGAGGAGATTGAAGTTAATATGCATTATTATTATGTGTTGTATTTCCCATAATAAAATTTCATGCACAATTAGATTTTTTGTACCTTTCCAGATGTTTTTTAGAAGGCTAGTCAGGGTCAATGTCATTAGCATGAAATTGTTAATTTACCAGAAATGTGATTCAATCTCTTGAGTCTATCAAATCATAACTTGCCAATGAAAAATGTGCTTATCGATCACAAAACAAGCTGATTTGCTAATTCCAGAAGGCCAGAAAAGTTACTGCTATAAAAATCACACATGATCTTCACTTAAATTAAGGAATTATTATTCTAATGATGGATCATCTATAATGATCCATGTGGCTACTCACACATCACTAAGAAGGAGTAGATGCATCACCAAAAATCAGGATAGAAGAGGCCACTAATTTGATTAAATTCCATGTGCCAATTTATAAATGGAAATGCAAAATCATAAATGATTTTTATAATGTAAACATAATACATCTCATCCTAACTGGGAGGACTGTGACCAGATGATTTATGAACCTAACTCACTCTGCTGTCCAGGTGCTGCTAAATATGGATAGGCAACTTCAAGGTCCCTAATCTTTTTCCTTATGGGTCTTTAAATCAGATTTAGGACTGCATTCCAATGGAGGATTTGGATCTTCCTTAAAGCAAGACCGCTCCGTTGTCAGACTCCCAAATGGAGGGCTGCCCTCCCCGAAAGAAGACATGCTTGCACTGCAAATGTATACTTCATTCCTTAGGTGACTTCAAAATTAGGTAGTTGCTGGCTGAGGTAAAAATTCATTGCTTGTATAATAACATCATATATACTAACAATGAGAAGATGAAGAATGATTTTTCTGATCCACAGTACCATCAACTGCTAATGGGGGTTCTTAAATTAAACATTTTAAAAACTTTTCTGATTATTACTATAGCTGGAAAATGTTCATTTATTTGTATTATTATTCCCTCTTCCCTCCTGCCCTCCTGGTATATAAACTGAAAGCTGAAGTCCCCTGGCTCGAAACAATAAAATGCCCTCAGTATTGTCAGGTGTCTTATGAAGGCCTAAGCTTTAGGCCTAGGCCTTGTAAAGCTGGAGAGAACTATGTAGAAACATAAAGTAATATTTACAGAAATACAGACAAAGGCTGGCTGCAAGGAAGGATTAAAAGATGGGAGCTGGCTGGGCAATGGGGGTTGGGAATGTCTGTATCATCACAAGGTGATACACATCAGGGACAGAAATAAAAAAAATGCTATTATGGTCTTGAAACAAGCACAACTGGGCTGCTTGTTTCTATATGTCTCCTTTTACAGAGAATTCTCTTGCTTAGCCTTACAGATCGGCCTCTAAGCAAATTTCCCTCAGAGTTAAGAGCCCTCTTGATGTTCTTTTTCTCCTTCACAAGGGAGGGGGGAAAATCTGCCTCAGAAACCAAGCACACCACCGATGGGATATATACTATCTTATCCACACATCCCAAGTGGCTGAGGTGCACAGATGGTCTCCTCAAGAGTCTGAGTCTTGCCCAAAGCATACCTATAATTTCCCACAGTGCTATTTTCTCGAGGAGAAGAGCAGGGGCTCTGTGCACAGACAAAGGACAGGGCACTGGCAACTTAAAAGAGCTCTGCTGGTTGATAAGGTTTCCACCTTTCTTCCTGCCCTTGTCAGAGTCCCTGTGCCCTCAACAGCTGTGTGGCAGACACAAATTCTATATCTATTGAGCCTTATCCTGTGGCGCAGTGGTTGAACTGCAAATCTGCAGTCAAGCCTCTGCTCACCACTTGAGTTTGATCTTGACAGGCTGAGGTAGTCATCTTGAGGTTGACTCAGCCTTCCATCCTTCCGAGGTTGATAAAATGAGTACCCAGCTGTAATGTAATGTATTGGTATACTGTAGGTTGGGGCTACGCAGAAGGTAGACCAGGATCAGATTGTAAAACTTTGGCTGACCTTCAGTGAATCTTCAAGAATTTCTGATTTCAAATGTTTTTAAAACCTCAAGAATTAAGTGGTTCTCCCCCACAAGTTAGTGTGCTGTCATGAAGAGAATTAAAAGAAAACCAGGTGTAAAATTTCATAGTAGAAGGCACTGTGAGTTCACATCTGGTAGTGGGGGAAAAATCTTGGAGGTGGTTATTTGCCCGGAAATACACCAGTCATTAATTCTTCTAAGTATACATGAGCTCCATTCCACATCTCAGTCACCTGATTGGTGACTGATGGGTTCTACTAGAAAACATGTACACCCTGTCAAGCTTGAAATCTTCCCAGCCCAAGGGCTGCTTCCCACTGCTTTGTTCATGACCAGCCTTAAGGCTGACACCTTAGACAACCTTACCTGGAGGAAGTCTCTCTTAAATTAATTGGTAGCCTTCCAAGGAGACACATACGGGATTACACTGCAGATCATTTGAGACCCTGCTGGATAAGTGCATCCATCTAGCATGGCATTAAGCAGTGGCCAACTAGATACTTCTGAGAAGTCACCAAGGCAACATGCCTACCACAATGGCGCAAAGCAGATACAATTATTCTGAACATGGAGGTTTCAGCTAGGTAGAAAGACAAGTAGCAATTGATAGTCATTTCCTTCATCCATTGCACTTATATCTCATTTAATGCACCATTAACCTAGAAAGTTCAGCAAATTGTGCATTTTGCACAGTAATTCATTTTAGGACTAATTGGTAAAGGTAACTATTAGATGACAGTTCTGTGGAGGATTTCAGATAATGCCCTTTGTGGTCAAAATAATACTGCAGCCCAGGTAAACTGGGGATTCTGGGAATTGTTTTCCAGCCAATTTGGAGAAGGCTGCTGAAGCATACATAAGTGAATAATATAGGTCTCATTTCATTACATTTCAGGCCTACACCACCTGTGACCTACCAAGCCCAAAGCAGTTCATTGTCCATCCACTGTGGCCTGCCAGGTATCCTCATGATCCATAAGCTATGGGAGAAGGGGAGCCCAGTGCTGCCAATATGATCCCCTCAAGCTGATAGCTGCACTTGGAGCATGGACATCTCGAAGCAAGGAAATGTACAGTGACGAGTCTACAGCAGACTATTATGGGACCATATTAAAAGAGTCAAAGTAACTGCTTTTGAGGGGACTGACATGTGACAAAGAACAAAAGTATTTAAGGTTGTTTTTTTAAAAAAACCAGAATAATTTGTTTTAAATATACCTTTATTTCCAATCAATAACAAGAGCATATTGGCACCTTCAACAGTAACAAGCCATTATGAAATATAGCTCACTTTATTAGACACATCTAAATCAGACGTGGTAATCTGAAAAAGCACCATTAAGCTCTATTGTTGCTTTTGCCAAACTAACGAACGTGCCTACCTCTGGACAATTTAGAAATTTAGATCAATCAAATAGTCATTAAACATGTTAATATACTTCCTTTCTTCCAGAATTCTGTACCTCCCATAGTTTAGCAGAAATTAACACGAAACACATTCTTTATATAAATCTGTCCATGTAATTGACTCCATCATACTGTCCAGTCTTACAGATTGTTTTGGTTTGTAATTTTGCTTTAAAGCAAAACAGTGTGTTATGATTTACTGGAGGAGCTTCCTCTATTAATCAAGCTTTTGGTCCTATAAGGAATTACCTCATTTCCTCAAGACAGCTGAAGCAGTAGGAAAATGAAATATCTGTAAATTGAAGTCAACACATCCATGATTATTGATGGCACAATATAAATTTTATAATTCAATTATGTAATGTTAAAGAAGCTAAAAGAAAGCAAATACCCACATGGCCTTGTTCACATACATAAAATATTGCATTATATGAACCTGCATTGTTCAAAATTCTGTTGCTGTGAAATTACACTGTGGGATGGTATATAAGCTGAATTAATTGAACTATTGGTTAAGGTAGATCCTTATATATAAGGAAATGAGATGGGGGGGGTCAGCTCCAAAGTTCCTTTGAGATTCAAAATCTGTTTTTAACTAATGTAACTGTTCCCTATGCCATGTAGTGATGACATAATCCTGTGGCACCATTAATCTTTATTTTAATTAAATTTAAATCATCCTACCTCCAGTTCAGGTTTTGAAGTTTCCTGGAATCCCTTTTGCCCTATGGAAGCCTTTGGAAGCTTTGGGATGGAGGGGAGAGACTTTAAAACTGGAAAATTGAAACCAAATCACCACTGATGGTCTTAATTTCGTAGCAGGATCAGCAGCAGTGATTGTACGATATTAAAGGCTTTCCCTCTGTCATCCTGAGGCTTCTCCATGGGGGGAAAAAGATCCCTGGGGATCATCAGAACCAGAAGGGATGAGTGTGAAATAGGAAGGTTTAGAGTTAATTAAAATAAATATTAATGGGGCTGAGTGATGACTTCATCACCATTTCAGTTGCTGTTTCCAGACTTTGAGGATATTGCACGATGAGGTGGAAGGAATATTAATAAACAGACTCTGCAGCAGATTTTTCCCCCCAAGAAGAATCAACAGACTTGAGGTTTTAGTAGCATCTATTGTAATCACAAGGTTCAGCAGCCAGAGCAAGACACAGAAGTGGTTCAGGGGCCTTCTGTGTACTTAAACTAAAGAACAAGCTGCCTCTGTCCAAGATTTTGTTGGTTGATCAGCTTATTTTTGTTGTGATAAAAAAAGACCAGCTAACGACATCCATCAATCACAGTGACAGATAATCTCTCCCCTCTTATCACAACAAAAACACACTAATCACCCTATCTTCTGAAAAGGACAAAAGCTGTTCCCATAGCTATAAATACTCAACTCCCAAACAAATTGCACCAGAGCACGGACAGAGTTCCTACTCCAGTGCTCTGAAGATGCCGGCCACAGAGACTGGTGAAACGTCAGGAAAAACAACCTTCAGAACATGGCCAAAGAGCCTGAAAAACCCACAACAACCATGAGAGCACAAATCTTTAAAGACTTTGTCTATCAGTTTGGAAGGCCAGCCTGCAATGTTCCAGGATATGGCTTGAATAAGATATCTGTTAAGACTTGGAGAGAGAGTGCTAGACATTTCTGTTCACTTCTTCCAAGTACATTGTCAGTACTACTGGCAGAACTTATACCTTTGGGTTTGGGACCAATTTCCTTGCTGGACGGCTATCCATCAGTTACTGCATCATATGAATGTGAAGGTAGCTGTTCTTCATATATGATGTCTAGGCCTAAAAGCTTACAATCAGTTATACAATTTTGTACTTCATGCGCCTCAGTTTGGAGTATAGTCGTGGCATTTGTCTTAGCTGTCAACTGAGGGTTTATGTTAATTTCCACTGTAACTTTTTGTGTTCTATTTTGAAAATAACCTGTTTGACTTATATTATTATCTTCTATAGAGGGGGCTTTAACCAAATCAACTAAACATAATGATCTGGCTGGAGGTGGTGGTGCTTGGCAGATCCCTGAATTTGTCAATAGCAATCTATGTACCAGGTCATCCTCTGATAGGATTTGTATACAGGAAGCTTGTGATGCTGTTGCACAGAAGTCTGCAGATTTTGTTTGAAATTCATTTGCTTGCTCTTGTGAGGGATTTAAACTAAATGAACTACTGACTAAATTACGGATAAGCATTTCAAGCCTGTTTATGATATGCTGTTGTTCTGTTATAGGCAACGTGAAATACCTCTCAATTAGAATGTTCTCCTCTTCGAAGATCATCATAGGCACTATTGGAGTAGCCTCTGGAAAGTAGTTGCTTACTTCCAGAGAGCTTTGGAGGGTGTCGCTTGTGTCTCTGTTTAATTGGTTATTATAGGAGAGGTTCTTGCTTCTATGACCAGTGGAGTTTAAATTCTCAAATCTTGAATTTGCATCACTAACATCTAAACGTATTAATGTATAAGTTGGTAAAGATTTCTCCTGTTCTATAATTTGTCCATCCCTAGCAGACCAGTCTTTGATCAGTGGCTGGATTATGGCATTGACAAAGTGCCTCTTCACCTGAACACCTAAACTAGCAAAAGCCTGCCTTTGTCTAAGTATAGGATACACAAAAGTTGGGCCTGTGAAAGTTGCTTTTATTCCATAGGTGGGATTAATGAAGCAAAGATATTCAACAGTTTCTATGCCTTCAATTGACAGGTGATACACTCCTGCCTCTTCAAGAATTTGTAAGAGGTGACATTTCTTTCCTAGCTGAGTTAGTTTTCCATTGGGCTTAGGAAAGTTAAGAAACACTAACTGATGCTTTGAAAGCACAATTGAGATTTTTGGTGATTGAACAGGTTTACCTTCAGTAGGAGTCTTATCTGATTGTATATTGATGGCCAGAGATGAAGTGCTAGGTAAAAGTTCGGAATTGGATGGTTTGAGAGACAAAAAGTCCACGATTGCAGCCCCTGGTTTTAGATCCTTGTGTAGTGGAGGAAGTAAGGAGAAGCGCTTCGCCGCGAGCAGCCCAAAGCCCGTTTTTTGGAACACATGACCGGTGGGGCCTTTGTGATGATCGTGGGGGAGCACTCCCCCGCGATCATTGCAAAGCGAATTTTCCCCATAGGGGCCATCTCAAAGCGATCGCTCTTGCGATGGCAAAAAGTCCATCGCAAAGCGATTTCATCGCTAAACTGAGCGATCGCTATGCGAGGCACCACTGTACTTAAAATCTTAAAAGATGATGCTGTTAAGGTGCTACACTCAATATGTATTGTACACTCAATATGTATTGTACATTCAATTGTACACTCAATTGGCTAAACCAATATTCCTGCCTTCAGAGGAGTCTTCATCATCTGCTGTCCCTCAGGCACTGAGTGAGAGACAGTGTGGCTGTGCCTAAAAAACGACTAAACAACAACAATGCATGATGAATTGAAGAAAATAAATTTATTAAACTTTCAGGAGAAAATGAGAACACTGACATGAGGCATGTTAAATATAAACAGAAAGACACAAAGTTCCATACTGTGGTATAATGGCTTTTGTGACCAGTGAAGTACCAAAATGACATTCTGAGATTGATTGAGGTATTTAGCTAGTTTTTGGTGATTGAAACATTCTATCAAGAGAAAAAAGGCAGCAAAAGACTCCCTTAATCCAAGAGAGGCTTACACAGCTTTAAGGGCATTAGTGCCTAAAACTAAAGAAGGCAGATATTAAGAAAAAATGTAGCATAAGTCAGCAAAATATTTAATAAACATCATTGAAATGCAAGCTAAATACAGAATTTCCCAGTTCCAACCATTGAGAAGGCAGCATCGTTGCTTACATTTGCTTTTTAAAACATCGATATCTGTTAAAATGAGTATATTAAAATGGATTTTTGAAGTAAATAATAACTTCTTTCGAAGTTACATTCTTGCTTTACAAATGTTTAAGCATGGCAAAGGCTCTGACTAAGATTTGCTTTGCTTTCTCAAGGCTTGTTTACATGATCCAGCTGGATGCTGGGATTTTAAAATATACAACTATTGTTTTCAACTTGCTGTAATTTTCTGTAAAAAAACTGGACACCATTTCATATCAATGATCGCAACTTTAGTTCACTGCTAGAAATTCTTGTTTATGTGGATATCTACTTACCTGAGATACAGACTATGAATTATGATAATAGTATTTACAACCTGGCTGTATGTTACATTAACAGCATAAAATGCTAGCAGCCAGGTTTTGATAGTTCAGAGGGAAGGTGATACTACTGATTTCCCCCATTTGCTCTCTCCAGTTATTTTTCTCAGCTTATTTTACTGTTTGTCCCTCTCCTAACATTTAGGGCAGATAAGATGAATGTGATAGCTACAAATAAGAAAAGGATGAGTGGCATATTTTTCCTGCTCGGTATAACTTTAAGGCAAACCCTTCCAGTTTCCCTTTTTTCTAAGGAAACCTGGAGCTATTTTTCACATGATAAATGTAACTAGTAACTAGGCCTCTGGTACAATAATACGATTCTAAAAGTAAGATCCATAGAGTTCAGTAGGATTGCAATCATAAAGGGGCGCAAAGGGGTGAGATGAAAATACACTTACAGTTGTGTTCAAAATTATTCAACCCCCAATGCTGTAAAGGGGTTTAGGGACTATAGTGTACATTTGGAATTGTATTCAGAATGAAATCCTACAAGGACGTTTGAAAGAACCAAATGCAACTAAAATAACATCAATTGTTTATGTAATACAGTAGTAAATGTTTCTTTTGTGGTTTCTTCATTGCCACAATTATTCAACCCCTTAAAGACTACCACTCTGAAGAAGAGAGGTTCAACTGTAAAAGGATGTTGTACTAAGTACTAAGATTGAATGTCACTTGGGGGTTGAATAAAAACTAATAATGATGTGAGCACAGAAAAGACATTTGTGGTTATTTCATTATAAACCTAAGGTTATATTTCTCTGACCTACAAGTGCCTCTTTCATGTAAATGTAAGCAAGATGACTGAATGATCAAAATCAATGTCAAAATGGCCAAAACATTCAATTTCAGTGGGGGTTGAATAATTTTGAACACAACTGTACTAGGAATTTAGCTCCATTGAACACGGTCGGCTAAATCCAATTGTTGTAGCAATGGGATGTACATAAATATTAAGATCTCTCATTCAATGAGTGTACTGTAGTCAAGACTAGGAATCGAATTTAGCTCAGAGGGTTTTAATTCCAAGTAAAGATGGGCAGGATTGCAGCTCTCTTGTGTTTAGGAGTTGGAGGTAAAGGCAAATGTTGGTAGCTGGTGTATAAGATTCAGAGTCCAGATATGGACAGTCCATTCTCTCTCTCACCAGGCAACCAATGCAGCTGTAATATAAACACATTTTTAGTAAGGTGCTTCCATTGCATATCTATCACAGCTTTTCAGGTGGCTACAAATTTGAATAACCTGCCTCTCTTCTAAAGGAACTAGTGCGGAGATTCCTTCTTAGTCCAGCAGCCCTTCTCCTCTTCAGGCTGATTTGTAAATGTGAACCCTGTTTACCTCTCTGGTGATGTACTTGTTTGTGTGATGATGGTAGCAAATCAATAGCTGTTTTGATCATGCTGGGCACGCTCTTGCCAGCCACTGCAACCAGGGCAACAGCAGTAGCCATCTCTTCTGCACCATCAGTGTAATGTTTCTTGGTACAGCTTTGATCCTTACCGTCTCATATTAAGAAAAAAGGAAGGAAGAAAGGGGGTAGGGAGAGAGAGAGAGAGACTCAAGGTGCATCTGAAGGCATTGGAAAGCTGCTGTCATTAAAAAGAAGACAATGTAGGGTTAAACGAACCAATCATGGGAATCTTTTTTTAAGGCAGCATTCTATGACTTGAAGGCTTGAACTGGGAATATTGGGGTTTAAGGCTGGATCTTACACTCCCAGTGGAGGGTCACTGATTTCAGGAGAGCTAGAGCTGTTGTTATGTTTAGATTCAAAATGTGTCAGTTTGTCAGTAACACATGTTTATAAGATAGCACAAACAAATAAACAACCAGGGTTTTCATGTTTGAATAGACCTTTGAATTTAAGTCTAGATTATTATGTAAGCAAAATTTGAGATAGAAGTAAGTTAAGCCGTACCTGGTGGAAATAAAGTGATACATGTAAATAGAACTTAAGCTACATTTCTTTAAAGCCTTCCTACAATAAATGTGTGGAATATACAAAATAAAAGAGCTAACAATACTGCAACGGAGGTTTTGCAGTTCCGCTTGATTCAGAGTCTGAGCTTCAAAATAAACTAGTTTGGACTCAGCTTTCACTCAGTGTTCTGCTGAGCCCTTCAATAGTCTTCTGAGCAAAAGACTTAACAGAAGGATTTGTTGTGAAGAACAGTGTTGTCAAATCACCAGTGCTTATTCTTGTGCATTGATAAATGTTCTGTAGAAGTAAAATGAAGTTCCTGAAAAACCTAAGCCCATTTTTGTTTCTGCTGCTGTACAAACTATATGATATGTTGGTACAACAGCAAATAAATGTCTGAAAATAGTTAGCTTGTTGTACACCTTGTGGCTTGCTACAAAATGCAAAATTATTAATAGTACTTTTAAGAAACATATAGGACCCAATCAAGTAGTGTTGGAATTTTAGTTCTCTGCAGGTTTTTTGGGAGGTATAAAAACATTCTATAAAAAAATATTTTTCCTTATATTCTTTTAAAAAAAGCTGCAATGATTGCAGCAGATACATTCTGTAGATGGGAAATTGTAATTAAACTACTATGTGCAGTGTAAATATAAAATATGCATGCCTACTTGTCTAAAGTATTAAAATAGGTCCAGATCTGTACAAATCAAAATAAATGTATCACTTAACCAAACTACTTCTCCATTACCCAGTGTCTCATTTCCCAACTCCCAATATAAACATCTAAGCATATGGCATGATTGAACATTAAATGTTCAAACTAGAAATCACACCTTATATTAGCTTTTTGATTGAAGAGGATTTATAACACATAACAACACATATGAGTAGCCCCAAATCAACACCTACAAGTACAATAACAAAAGACAGTCACTACCACTCAACCAGCCTTAGCAAAGCTTCATAAGACAATATTTACAAAAAACAACAACAATACTGTGATTGATTCAACACTCCAGGTCAAAGTGGAAGGGATTTAACACCACCCACTGACAAATACTGAACACATTTGTTTTGGTTAAGCATATACACACCCAAGCCATTTACATCCCAACCGAAAAGCTCCAAGTGAACATGCAAGCACTCCAATATATACACAGAACTCCACATGAGCATGAATGTCTCCATTCATATTAAGTGTTGGTAAGTGGTCTGCAAATATGACACTAAAGTAAATCAGGAAGCTCCTGTTCTTGAAGCTCCACCGGTGCTCTGGAACCTTGGGGTGTGGATTTGAGAGTGGGAGTTGATGTAATTTTCCACGCAGTCAAAGAAAAAGAAAGCTATGGCAGGATTTTGTTAAGTTGGTCTGTGCTCACATAACCGCATGATGCATTGAACTCCTTGTCTGGCACAGGGAGAGCTGTAGCACTTAGCACAAGGCCCTCCGGAGACTGCACTACATGAATGGAGGTATAGTCCGCCACAGGTGTCTCTGAACTTTCAAGTTCTTCTTTTTCTGCCACTGCTGTCGCAGGATTCACAGCACTAGGGGTAAGGCTCTCGGTGGCAAAGTAAGCATCCTCAGAAATGCTCTGGTCTTGAACTTCTGGCTCAGCCTCTTTGGGAGGCATCACAGTGACACAATTTTTCACATCCAATTCACAGAAATAGGCACTGTCCATGGCAAAACTTGGTTGACATTGTGCAGCTGGCTCTTTCTGACTCTCATTCTGGGCTTTCCTCATCTTAATTTTTTTCCCTGGAGAGAGCACAACACTTCCTCCTGGTGTAATGTCACTGACCTGTGTGTAAAAGTCAATGTTTACCACTGAACTCTGATTGCTTAGCTGGCTTTGGATAGGCTGGTTGGTTGTCTCAGTATTGTCCATGGCAGCATGGCGGGCTTTGGGTTGCTTGCCTTTGGCTGGATTCTCAGGCAGCCGGTGAGTGTCCTCAAGGCTTGACGTTGGCTTCTCATTGTCCTTTTGATCAAGGCACATGAGATCCTTGTCATTGGCTTTCTTGGACTGCTCAATATCTGATGTGCCATCGCATGTGTCACTCACACTAAAGTCAGTCTCTGGAATATCAGGTTCACAGCAGCTGGCCCGACCAGAATCATCGTCCCTCACGGCAAGGCAGCCCTGAGACTTCAAGCGGTCATCCCCAAGGAGCCTGTCAGTGTCCGATCCTTCGGTCCTGGCTTCTGCCTCATCGATGTCCAGCTCAATGAATTCCACCCAAGAGTCATTTCCATACAGCTGTGGCATGTAGCTACCATGACTGGCTAAGATGGAGTTGACTTCATCGAGTTTTCCTTTCTACAGAGCAAAGGTTTAAAAACTGCATGAAAGGAGGAATGGCTATCCAGTCATTTAAATATGCTAGTACTGCATGTGTTATATTTATACTGGGGAGGGCAAGTTCATCTGCTCACTTTCCCCCACAACCCTTAGGTGAGCTACTTCCGTCCCTTTTTAGTTAGTGGGACATAATCAGAAGGTCATGTCTAGCAATTTTTTTTTGGCGGGGGAGAGATGCTATTGGAACCTAAAAAAAGGTCCCCCCCCAAAAAAAACCCCAATATAAAAAGACTTGGTGAGCCATATTCAGCCACTGAGCTACACCATTTCAAAGATATACAAAGACACCAGAAAATTCCCAATCTGTGTGCTGAGGTAGGAGTCAGACAAAAGCAATTATACTGTACTTATCCTCGATTATAAAGGGTAGGCTGGGTGGAAAGGTCTGAGGGTTATATAACCGGAGGAATACACTATTTCTAAGGAATGCTAACAAAATATATTTGATATTTATGAAATCACAACCCTGACTGTTTGATTGATGACATGTGGTGCAATTTTATTTATCTGTTACATTTACTTTTCCCCCCCAGCAAGCTGGAAATAAAACTTTCCTCCTCCCCACTTTATCCTCACGACAACCCTGCAAAGGACATCAGCCTGAAAGGGTGTGATTAAGCCTAAGGTGGCCCAGTGAGTTTTGCGGTTTATTGGGATTAGCCACTAGATCTCCCAGGTGTTCTAGATGTAATCAGTTCATATATAATTCTCTCTTGTGAGCCATCTTGGATGCATTTTGCCCTGAAAGAATCATAATCTATACTTTTGTTAAATGACACCCCCAGGATCTTAGTTTCCTCTAGTGAGGACATCAGCCTCATGCCTCCGCTTCAGGAGCAGGGGATAAGATTTCTAAAAGGCACAGAGGGGCTGCTTTTTGATGGCAATGGTTACATAGTTCATATAGCTTTATTGCAGGGAGTACCCAAGACTCAAGTTCCAACATTTTAAACTGGAACACAAGTGGAATAATCTTTATGGTTTCTTCACATTTGATGTCTAATGAAGTGTATCATTGGCATGGCATATACTTGGCCACAACATTAAAACCACCTGCCAAACATTGTGTAGGTCCCCCTCATGCTGCCAAAACAGCTCTGATGCATTGTGGTGTGACTCCACAAGAAGTGTCCTATGGTATCCTATGGCACCAAGACATTAACAGTAGATAATTTAAGACAGTGGTCCCAAACCTTGGGCCTCCAGATGTTCTTGGACTACAACTCCCAGAAGACTTCACTGCCACCCCTGCTGGCCAGGATTTCTCGGAGTTGAAGTCCAAGAACATCTGGAGGCCCAAGGTTGGGGACCACTGCTTTGAGTAGTGCAAGTTGCGAGGTGGGGCCTCCATGGATCAGATCTGGTGTTCCAGCACATCCCATAGATGCTCAGTTGGATTGGGATCTAGGGAATTTGGAGGCCAAAGCAACATGTTGAACTCTTTGCCATGTTCCTCAAACTATTTCTGAATAATTTTTGCAGTGTGGCTAGGTGCATTACCCCACTGAAAGAGGTCGCTGACATCAGGGAACACCACTGCTGTGAACAATCTCTGACTGGTCTGTGGCTATGCTGCCCCATATGCAGAAACTGTGATGCACTGTGTGTTATTACACCATTCTGTTAGCGCCAGCATTAGGTTTTCCAGCAATTTGAGCGACAGTAGCTCTTTCGTATGATCGGACCAGATGGGCTAACCTTCACTCCTCATATGCATCAATAAGCCTTGAGCATCCACGACCCTGAAACAGGTTCATTGGTTGTCCTTCCTTGCACCACTTTTGGTAGATACTAGTGACTGCATATTGAGAACACCCCACAAGAGATGCTGTGACCCAGTTGTCTAGACCAGTGGTTCTTAACCTTTGTTACTCAGATGTTTTTGAACTGCAACTCCCAGAAACCCCAGCCAGCAGAGCTTATGGTGAAGGCTTCTGGGAGTTGCAGTCCAAAAACAACTGAGTAACAAAGGTTAAGAACTAGTGGTTTAGATGGAGATTTCACACACAACAGTCAAATAACCTGCTGGAACGCAACAAGAGCTAGGTGCCTGTGCGAATGGTAGTGCAGCACTTGTGTACCCTCATGCACATGCGTGAACAGCTGTGTGCTTGTGCGGGTGTGTGCATGCTCGTGCGCATGTGTGAACAGCAGCACCGCTATTCATGCATGCACACAAGAGCGCACCCACACAAGTGCCACACTGCTATTCGTGCATGCACACAAGCGTGCACAGGCACAAACAGCCTTTGCGGGGCTGAGGTGGGGGGGCAGGAGGTCTGTCTTCGCAGCCTGGTCGGGCTCAGGCCGGGGACCAGCACTGGGCCGCAGACTGGGGGTTGACGACCTCTGGTCTAGACTAGAGATGGGGGTATTTGTATATGAATATGAATATACCTGAAGGACCACCTTCTTCCATATGAACCTACTCGGCAGTTAAGATCTAGCCAGGGGGCCCTTTTGAAAGAGCCGTTCTTTAAGGAGGTAAGAGGGAGGACTTGTAGATGAAGGGCCTTTTCGGCAGCTGCCCCCAGACTATGGAATGCCCTCCCGACTGAGATTCGTCTGGCGCCGATGCTAATGACATTTTGGCGCCAGGTCAAAACCTTCCTGTTCCAAAAGGCCTTTAATTGAAATAATATCACCTGTGGGTCTGATGGCAATTTTTAGAGTATATATTTTTAATTGCATTTTAATTATTTTGCCCTTTATTGTATTTTAAATGTTGTAAGCTGCCCAGAGACCTTCGGGTAGTGTGGGCGGCATATAAGTTAAAT